CCCCAAAACCCCCAAAACCCCAAAACCCCAAAACCCCAAGTTTATGTGAAATTATTGAAAATTACTGAGGTTTATTGAAGTAAGGAGGATACCCATAAGGAGGATTCTGTCTATAATTTACATCTCCCATTCCGGGTTGATACCCTGGCATCATTGGAGTCTCCCCTTGTGGAGGATAAGGAGGAGCAGGAGAGTAGGTAGGGGCATACCCTCCTACATAAGGTTCAGGCATATTCTGTCCAAACTGTGGGATCTGAGGTTGATAATTATAGGGAGCTGGTTGTTGGAATTGACCCATTCCTGCATGTTTAACATCCCTTTTTCTATACACATTTTCAGGCGCGTTCATTATCCCAGTAGAGCGTTTTTGATCTCTCCTCTTCCTTTTCCTGTTATTTTTCACCTTGTTAACTATTCTCTTGTACTCTTTCTCTTGTTCATCATCTGAGAAGTCTTGCTCTGAAGGTTCAATGATCTCTTCATCATAAATGTTCGAGGCGTCTCATCCTTTTTGGTTCAATAAATTATTCCAAAACACTAGCTTTTTAGTTTTCTCAACGAAATAAACCTGGTTTCCTGTGAATAGAGCCTCTAGGTTGATTTCGTCCTTCTCAGTTTGTTCTAAGAAGCTTGGATATAGCATGACAGTGTAAAAGGGATCATTCACTGGGCCCACTACTTCATCAATATAGCCAATAAGCTCCTTCTTCTCATTACAGATGAAATTGTCAAGATCTAAAATATCTCTGCTTTGATCATCCTTCTGTACAAAGAGGGTATGAGGAGGAATGAAATTCTTGACAACACCTAATGGGTTAATTATATCTATCTCCTTATCCAACATCTTAGGCATGAACTTCAGGATCTGCTGTATGTCATTTTGGCTAATTTCATTCTTGGTCTTATATGTGCTCATAGAGACTACAGACTCTGCATCCATCTCACTGCCAGTATCTTTCTTAGGGTTCTTTGAGCTCTTAATAATTTCTTCAATTTCTTCATCTGAAGAGGTGTCACTGTTCAGGTCATCCTGCTGAGGAGGCATATTCGAGTCTTCCATTTTAATTAATTCTACTATTAAGCCATAAAGGGGTTTTGGGGTTTTGGGGTTTTGGGGTTTTGGGGTTTTGGGGTTTTGGGG